TTTTGCCTCCTTGCCAGGTCTTGGTGTTGTCAGTGTTTCTAAATTTTAGCTATTGTAGTAAGTATACAATGATAGCTCATTGTAATTTTAATTTGCATTTCCCTAATGACTAATGATACCGGGTATCTTTTCATATACATCTATCTCTTCTTTAGTGAAATATCTACGAAAATCTTTTGCCCATATTTAAAAAATTGGATTGTCTTTTTATTATTAATTTGTAAGAGTTCTTTATATATTCTAGATATTCTCCCTTTACCAGACATTTGTTTTGATAGCTTCTTTTTGAAGAGTTAGAAATGGAAAGGATCTAAATCAGACCCCTTTTCTACCATACCACTATTTCTTATACATATTTGCTACAGAAGGGAAGAGGAAAGACTTAAACTTCCGATTTACAAATCTCTCAGAGTTACTGGGCAGAGTGAAGCAGTACTTGGTATCTGCTGAAACTCCTAAGATGATTTTCATCTCCATTACATATGTCCAACTATCACAAGGGCTTTAAGTAAAGCTACAGATGGAAAAATGATTGTCCTATACACAGCTTTTGGCCCCCCAGGCTCTGCACCTCCCAAAGCCCTGTTCTGGTCCACCAGGCTTCTGGAATGGTCAACAGTCGTCACACTCCATTGCTGGCCATTGTCCACTGCGAAGGTAGGAGGCTCCCAATCCATCCCTCAGCGAAAGAGCAAATAGTGGGGCCTGCGGCTGCCTGGACATCAAAGTTGAGCAAACAGGCCTGGCAGACCCTGCTTCTCCGCCTACATATCCCACAAATGCCATCTGAAGGAGCTTCCCCAAGGGGGTCATGACTTTCAGCTTGTCATAGCACACATCAAAGTTTGCACCACACACGAACTGGGTTGCATGGGTTCGAATCAAGTCACCCGAGAGCGGATACTCTGCTATTGTGTCCAGTTTTAATCTTGCGTTTTCCCAAGTAATTAAGCCTTCTTGCTTATGAACTTGTGACTAAGCAAAGCATCACTGAGAAGTTGTAACATCAAAGTGCCTTCCACCGTCTGTCCGTGTTTGGCAAAATTGGATTTCTTTCCTCTCTTAAAGAAAGACTAATTGAATTTAGCTGAAGGCTGGGTATATTTGCACTAGCCAGTGAAGGTTATGCTAAGTCACAGCATCATCCTGAGACCCTGTGGCTTGCCTTTAGCTAGGCTGGGTCAGAGTGCAGCACAGAGTGAGGCACCCAGACTCAGGCTAAACAAGTGCCTTGTAGCATAAGGCTTACCCAGGGCTCACTGTGGAGAAGGGGCCAGACCCCATTGACTGCTACTTGAGTCAACACTACACCCAAGCTGTTCCTGAGGGTGGCAAAAGAATTGCTCTAATAGAATGTTGGTGAATCTGTGGCAGAACCGTTGCTGAGGACAATGGCCATCACATTACTAGTCAAGTAGTCAAAGTAAGCTGCTTTTAAGGCAAAGGCTCTGATTGCTTATTCTCTGAATCCCTCCATGGCACAACACATCAGTGTCTGGCATAGGATAGTTTTTAAAAATGTTTGTAGAATGCATAAAACGATAATATAAAGCATGTCAGAATAAAATTCTTCTCTCCTGAAGAATGAAAAAAAACCCACTGATCTCATTTCTGCCTTGTGTGTCAGGAAAATTCTATCTAAATTAATATTTAATTTCACTAATTACTTCATTTATAGTGAGTATAGATAGCACAGTTCCATTTATGTCAAATTATAACACAAGTAAGTACATATACCATGATAAATGTCTAGATAGAGGGAATTCAGGTGACTGCCACTTTCCTCTCTGTATTATTTTTATAAAAACAATAAACCTATTTTCAGAAAAGAAAGCCTTTGGTTCAATCTTGATACAATTATCTTTCCTTTTACCAATAAGATTTCTGATCTTGATCCAGTTTCAACTCTCCTATGTGTATTTATATTTGTATTTAAGTCACTTCAAACCCTCTTTAGAAATAAAAAGGAATGAATTATAAATGAACTTTCTATGCTTATTTTTAAAATTTACTATGATACTATATATATATATATTTCCTACTCACAACTAAATAATAAATACATAGAGAAATAAAAGTTGTAAGACAAACTCCTTAAAGATGGAGACCATCTTTATACTGTACTCTATATTCCTAAGTATACTGTACTCTATATTCCTAAGGACTTAAGGCATTAAGCAGGCACCTGAGGGATAAAGGACTGGGCTACTCTCAGCATTTCTCTTTGAGTACCTGGGCTGTCAACATTCCAAAGAAGGTAGAAGTTCTCTACTTTCAGCCTCAGTTAAGGGGTGCTGCTCTTCCCTCCATCTAATTCCAAGTCAAAGGTGGTGGCATTTCAATTCTGACCAATATGGTTCCAGAAGGGTCTGGTGACTGATCTTAGGAGAATCAGTACAGGTCTAATAAGGAGAAACTTACTTGTAGGTTGTGTTGATATGGACACAATGATCTTGCAAGACCACTCACAAGGCACTTTGTCAGTCAAGGGCTACTCACCTTGACCAATGTACTGATACTTCCTTTCTTACAGCTTCTATTTTTCCTTCCTTCCATGGCACTTCTTATCTCCTCATACATTATATGGTTTACTTATGACTTACTGTGTATTGTCTGCCCAAGCCCCTCTCTCCTGGGTTCTACCACGAGTAAAGAAATGAGCTCTGTCTGGGCAGGGATCTTTATGCCTATTTATCAGTGATGTTATTTCAAGTACCTAGAACAGTACCTGGCAAACAGTAGGGGCCCCTCAAATTTTTGTGATGTGAATAAATAAATCTAAGAGTGTTATTTTCTATAAAAACTTGTCTTCCATGGATACTGGGAGAGGAGGGCACAAAATCTTAAAAAAACAAACAAACTAGTAATTAGTCTTAGAAAACAAAGCAACTAAATCCAAGCCAACACTCACTTTCTTCAACAAGAAACACTGATTTGCTAATGACCCTAGGTAAAGACAGAGCAATCAGTTAAACCAACAACTCATTAGATTTAGAGAGAAGTGTCCCCAAAAGCACATCTACTAGCTATCTGATCACTAATTGACAGTACTCTTAAGTATTGTGTTATTTCCTATTCAGTCTCAACTCTGAAAATACACATGGCCAGGAACATCACCACCTTTCTTCAGCACTGGCTGTTCCTGTCTGCAAGCTGGGAAACAGGAATGCTGGGTGGGGTACAGTACAGGGGTGGAGTGGGCCGGGGATATAGCTCAGTGGCATAAGCGCCTGCCTGGCAAGTGCAAGGTCCTAAGTTCAATTCCTGGTACAAACAAAACAAAACAAAACAAAAAACATACAGGGGTGGAGAATAAACACATATGTATAGAGGTCTAACATGGGCTCAGGGAAGTAACAACTCACCATTTATAACCGGTAGCACATATGTGATTTTATCTGAGTTCTAAGAGATAGTGAGCATCTGTTCTGCTACCAGATGGAGTCCCCTGACCTTCTCTGCTTCAGTAACACCTTGTATACTCTGCACTGACATCACTGTTGACATCATATATTATGTTTCTTTACTTGCATTTCTTTTCCATGTCAGGATATGAGCTCCACCAAGGTCTCTGATCCTCCAAAGACTAGTATAAGGTCTAGCTCAGAACAGGTATTTACTAAATGTAGAAATAAGCAGTTTCTCATGGAGAAACAGATGGCTATAGAGTTCTGAAATTCAACTAAAGGCCAGAACCGAGATTGGATTCCAGGTCTTCCAACTGCAAAGCTGATTTATATCTTTATGTCATCCCCCACCACCCCCTGGTAGTGCTAGGGATAGAACCCAGGCCTTGAGCGTGCTAGGAAAGCGAACACTTTATATGAGATACAACCCTAGTATAATGTCAATTATCTTTTAAAGAGTAAGTGCTTGGAGTGCAAGACGAAAAACAGAATAAATTCACAATCAAAGAACAAAAAAGAAACCCAACTCAAGGAAAGTTAAGTCTCTCAGCTAATCAGAGGGAGATCACCCCTGTAGATGAAAATCCTAGTTTTTTGGCCTTCTTCCCTACTTAGGACCCTTCCAAAGGTGGAGATTCCTGGAAGAAAAAAACCTTAATGACTTGCTTGAAGGGAAAATTACAATAGGACCTCCAACCATCAGTTTCAGTGGCAGCTACTGAAGTGCTCAAGTCTGCTTTCTTTAAAAGCATCCCTTTTCACACTTAATTTTTTTGCATAGTCACAGCTAAAGTAAATGTACACTTCCCCACCAGAATTACACCGACTTTGAGGCAGGAATCAGAACAGGCTGAGATGGAAAAGCAGCATCCAGTACTAGCCTGGGACATGGCATCAGGAGGCACTGATGTAATATCATACAAAACACCTTCTTTGTAGGCAGCTGGACTAGGTTCTAAGATCTGCCCATGTGACTTCAGAGAAATCACTTTTCTCTTTGGGTTCAGCTTTCTCAGCTGCAAAATGAGCATAACAAAATACATTTTGTGGGGTGGCTTTGAAAATGAGACATAACTTTGAACACAAAGTGTACTATACTTTATACAGCATCTACAACCTTGAGGGAATGGGGAAATGAGTGGGAAAATAGTACAGCTCCAACAGAAGGGAAGGAAGACCACTACATTGCCTAGTTTCCAAAAGAACTTCCAAAGAAAAAGGCCCTAATGGACCCCTTGTTGTGGAGACAGTGACTACAGACTTCTCAACATGGACAGATGGAGGACAACAAGAACATGACGACCATTTGCACTTGTACACTAGCCATTTACAAGAGACTTTCGAACATTTGGCTGCAGTGTTTGGCTCAAGGTCATAGAGCTAGTGATCGATGGAGGTGGGAGCCAAAAACACACCTTCCCCTCAATATATACTACATAGTCTAATGCCCGACATGTAGTCTAGTACCTTAGACTGAATCCATGTCCCTGCCTCTGGAGAACAATCAGGGAGCAGGCAAGGGTGGCAGAGCGTTCAGGAACCCAATCTGCAGAGATGCGACTAGGGGAGCCTTGTGTGGAAGCAGATTCTCACCTGTCATTTCGGTTGATGGCTGCCACCATGAGTGCTGTCCAACCAAGTTTGTGTCTTGCATTGATATCTGCACCTTCTGACAATAGCCTGAAAAGAGACAGGAATATGTTCAGTGTACAGCTTATCAGGGACACAAATGGAAATAATCACAGAAGCAATGACACAGCCAACAAGGAGGTAGGCCAGATAAGTCTTAAAATAGAGGCCTTTAGGAACTAAACCCCCAATCCCAGCATCTTTGATCACCCCTCCTTCACCCAAAGCTTCTACCTTTCCCTTTTTCTTCCATGATTAACCCTCTACTGTTATTCTCTCAGCATTCTGAGAAAAGAAATGTGCCTTACCAACTTTAATACTCTGACACTCCTGTCCCTGGTGCAGAACGCTCCCTCCCTGCCTCTTTTCCTGTTCAAATCCTGCTCTCATGCCATGCGATAGCACCTTGGCTTATGGATTCTCTCCTGAGAAGCCTTGACTCATCTAGTCCACAGCTTCCTTCCCTCTGCTTGGCAGAGAACACCTAATGATATGTCTTACCTAGGCAGTTCCCGGTTTACAAGTGGATCCCATTCCTCAAGTTTATCTGTATTGTGGCTAACCAGACAATGGAGGTCTTTCAACCCAAAGAAAGATGGAAAGAATGCTAGGGATGCTAGATTACGTTGTTAGAAGAACCCACATAGACTCTGTTTGAATCTATAAACCAAAACCTGGGACAAAGTAGGAGTAAAACTAATTGTTGAGCAAACAAACAAACACAGGATTTACAAACCATACCATCAGAATCTTAATTCTGAGTTCTCGAAACAGAAGGTCTTATAATGTAGGGTGGCTAAAGAGAAGGGAAAGAAACAGAACCAGCCCTTCCTGAACACCTTCTGTAGGAAAGGAGCTGCCCTGGGGAGTTTACATTTATGAGTTCATTTACTCTTCACACCAGTTTAAGGAGCAGGTAGCTCCTTTTTTCATGGGTGAGGAAACAGGCCCAGTGAGGAGAAACGACTTGGTTAAGGTTGCACAGCTAGGTTAGGGGCAGTTTAGTAACTAGCACCCAGGTTGGTAATGATTCTGTAGCTGGAGTCCTCACCTTGCCCCCTTCTAGACAGACCCTGGCTCCACGTAACTTCAAGAAAGGCAAAGTAAACTGATCTCAGCAAACCCATAGCATGTGCTTGGTCCTGAGATGGATTCTGGATACGAGTGAGAAGACATGGGATCTGCTCTGGGAAAGCATATAATCTAGTAAAGGATGATTCGGAACAGGAGGAAATCAAAGAATGTGGTGACAGGAAAGGGGAGACTGAAAGCAATGTGCCTACGAGGGAGTCATCCTTGTGAAGAAAAGGCAGGTGGAGGTACTTTGGGACATCAGGAGCCTGCCCACAATGCTGTAGGTTCTAGGCAAATGGGCACTGGGTGCAGAGTTCAAAGGTAAAAAAGTTTGGTCCTAGCATCATTTTTGCACCATAATCTGTAGTAAATGCTCCTCTGGACAAAGCCAAATAAAATGCCAGTGCAGAAGGAGGCAAGTAACCACAGCCGGGGAGGATGGTGTGAAACATCATGTACTTGTCTACACATTTGGCCCTGAGGGCCAAGTACCTTTGAACACTGTCACAGCCTGTGGGGACACAGACACCAAGCTCAGAACCACCCATCCCACGAGTGCTGTGAGGGAGAACAAGGTTGCACCTGTGTAGCACAGAAAGCACAGAAAGCCAACCCAGTCTTGATGACCAGGAAGGTCACCTCTCTAGGGTGATGATAAAAGGGAGCCAACCACACAAAAAGGGTGAGGGAAGGGAAGGAGTGTTCCAAGGCAAGGTGAAGTCTCCTCGCCCACAAAGCCCTGGTAATGTGAAGCTCTGAGAGATGTGCTGTGACTGGGGCCTAAATTGTGAGGAGAGAGTGTTAGGAGAGGAGGGTAGGAAACACTCATTTCCCACCTCTGGTCTGGAGCATTTCCTCCAGGTAAAGTCCACAGCCTTGTACCACATACTCTATTAAACCTTTTTCTATGAGGAAACAATTTCCTATGGCCAAGAATGTTGGCGTAAGAATACTGAGGGTAAATTTTCTGAAAGACAAATATTCTCTTAGCATAAAACCTCCTCCTTGTCAAGGCAGCAAAGTGTGTGGTAGCATGGAAGGTTGTGGCTCTGAACCTTAACGGTCTGGATGAGTCTGATAACTGCAATTCTGAGGGGAAACCTCATTTTTCTGGTCCGCAATCCAGAAAGGCTAGAAAATTAGGGCAGACTGAAGAAAGTCAAAGAGGTTTCCGAGAGTAAGGACTTGAACTATGCCTAGAAAAATAAGAAGAGTTTATGGAAGCAGGAAGAAGCAGCACAGCACTCCGGACAGAAAGAGCAGGCTATGATGGCAAAGCAGGAAAGGAATATTAAGTGACATCAGGCAGATCCTATATAGATCAGCTATAAGTTATTAGGTGAATTAACCTTTTTTTTTTTTTTTTTGTGGGTGATAGTGCACAGCTGAGAAGCAGCAGCCTGATATACATTCAAATGCTATATTCTGCATATAATGTCCATGGGTTCACAGGCCCACGGAGTAAGAATGATAAAAACGCAGTCTAAGGTGCGGATGAACATTGGGTAAATATGCAACTATCCAACTCTTATGTCTAAAACATACCACAAATCTATCCCAGAAGCTCTTTCTTGTGGAGCAGTTGAAAGAGCCACAGAATCCTTCTCCACAGAAGTACCAACTGGACATCATTTTGTTGGTAAGAGGTTAGCAACAGAGAAGAAACCTATTTGCCATTGCTTAGCCCTTTATCAAAGACAGCAGGGCTATTATTTAAGGTTTCTAGGCAAAAAAAAAAAAAGGGACAAGGAGACCAGTGTAATTCATCACACATTCCCTTGCTGCTCTCCTAGGTATGCAGAGGGGAAAAGGCCACCCTCTCCCAGCCACCAACACCAACTGCATGCCCCTTCTGGATCTGTGCGAGCATTTCTCTATGGTATGTAGTGGGGGTAGGGTCCCTGGGTGGTGAGGTATGTGTGACGGGACTGAACAGTATCAGTGTCCTCTTCAGGACAGCTGTTCCACTGACTCCCAACAACAGGACAGGGGTGTTTCTGTGCAAGCCCCTTCTTGCCATCACTTGGTGGTGGCCAGTTTCCTAATCAGCACCAGTTTAAGGGGTATCAATTACATTAATGCTTTAATGTGTGATGATCACCAATAATTTTGAGCTACTTGTTGCATGCATGTTTGCAACTGCAGGCTTCCTTTTTTGTATGTTATTGCAGTGTTTTAAGAGAAGGAATTGGTGGCGGAGGCAGCTTTTCCAACCTTGCCACATTTCAAAGAATGAACACAAAGCAGAGTCAGGAGCCCTGGGTTCGAGCTTCAGCTCTGCCATCTACTATTCTGACACCCTAAGAAGGCGCATCATCTCATTAAGCTTCAGTCTCTTCATAGGTCTGCTGGGGAGTACAATCCCTGTCAGCTACACAGTTTTAGCAAGTGGCACTGAACAATGTGGAAAGGGCTCTGTACATCTGTGGGGTCATTCACAGGAGAACCTTGGCGTTCCCCAGTAAGACTCCAGCTTTCCAAGTCCTGCTCAGCTTGCTCTGACTGAGCATCATTCTTTTCCACCTTTTGGAGCTGAGATGCAATGGAAAAAAGCAATGACTCTGAAGTACAAGGGCTGGAGTTCAGGTGTGAAGTGGGGGATGGTAACCCCTCTTGTGCAAAGTGGTTGTCAGGCCTGGAAGACGCAGCAAAAGGTAGAGTTCTGTAAGGAGTGGTGCGCCTGGTAATCTGAGAGGGACCACGGCTAACTTCAACACCACTACAGCAAACACAAACAACTCTTCTTCCTGAAGACCTGGGCAGAACCGCTCTTGCTCTCCCCAGCCCCCAAAGTTAGGATTTCATCAGCCAGGTCTCTCCATTTGATTTTGTTGTTTTGCAACTGAATGCCCAGCGGGCAGTCATTTCAAAGTCCTGGGCCAGCTTGGGGGGGCGGCTGCCTGCTGAGAGCGGTTGAAAGGGCCTCTGAGGCCTCAGAAAGCCACCCTTGCTCTCCCCTGTGATTTTCACCAATGGACAAAATGCGGCAAGTGAATTAATCTCTTTTAAAAAGAGCAATGCTTGTGACAGAGCACGGTGTCTCTGAAAAGGTTAGGATTCCATCATCCCTGAGATGATGAGTAGAATGCTTAATGCAGGCTGCCACTCAGGGCAGAGAGGCCTGTGTTGAGGCTGGGGAGTGGGGGTTGGCACGGCAGGCCTTTCTGGGCTCACTCCAGAGTCGGGGAAGGCCCTTCGCTAATGAACAAGCTCTCCTGCTTGGCAGGGCAGTGATGGGTGACCTTGAGGACTGCTCAGAGTAGTAGGCAGAGGAGACCACACCGGAAGTCCAGAGTTGAATCCCTGCTCTTGCACAAGTCTCACTCAGGCAGTAGCATGGGGCAAGGAAAACTACAGCTCCAATCCACGTTCTGCCACTTACTGGATGAAAACCTACGGATGAAAGACCTGGCCTCTGGGAAGTCCTGCGCACTCCATTCCTTCACCTAAGTGACAGCTCTTGCTCTCTGGCCTGTCGAAATCCTCAAGCAAGGGCGGTGCTAGAACAAGGAAGGGTCCACCAACCCAAGGCCTGAAGATCCTACTGGAGAGGGACAAGCCAGAATGGGGCAAAAAAAGGTGCTGCTCCCAGCTATGAGGGTTCCTGTAGAGCCAAGCAGATCTGGGTCCAAGAGGTAAATTATTCGCTCTGACCAGGAAAGGGAGATGACTCACACTTTCACTTTCTGCTGAGCCAGTCTGTATTACCTAAGGTTCTGTTCTTTACAACGGTGACTATACTATTAATCTTTTCTTTTAATAAAACTTTTTAGAAAAAGAAAGATCCTACACTTTCTTCCTCTAAGAAGCCTTCCCTAAGATGGCCTTGTTGCTGCCACAATCCCCTCTGCTAAGCTGTATCAACACAGCTGCATACTGTTCACCTGCCTGATCCCCCAGGTGTCCCCTCTGGAATCAAGGACCCACCTTCACCTCTGCTTCCAGTGCCTGCCATAGTGAGCTCAGGGTCTGAATGA